AAAACATCTGGATAAGTTCCATCAACTTTTAACACATTTTTACACCTTAAAGAATAAACTTATACAGAGTGAGACCTGACTAAAGGACTTGAAGAAGTTTTTTTTTTAATTGTTACTCAGGAAATTCATACTCACGGTAAACACAGATGCCTATGATGCCCAGCAGCAAAATGAAGCAGATAGTCCCAAAGCAATAAGCCAACTTTTGAAAGTCATGACTTCTTTTTTCAGCTTCTTTTTCTGCCAGCGGTCCTGCTGAGGCTTTTTACAAGGAGATATTTACTTTACTTACAATTACTGAATATTAATTTGCCAATATTGTGGTTTTTCATTATTCATCCAGCATAATGTATTTTATTGTCCATTGACTGAAAATACTGTAAAATGACAGAAAATTGACACTCACAGATTTCAGAACGTTTAGATTGCAGGCAGAGGTTCTGCAGAACTAGTAAAATGATCAGCAAATTTGATGGTTAACAGCCCCTTTGTCTCTGTGGGGGACTCAAACTGCTAAACAGAAAAGGGAACTCTGCGGCAGACTGTTCACATTACCATCAAAAAGCAGAAACAGTTTCCAATTTGTCTGCTGTCTTTTTTATGCAAAAAGTCATCTTTCAATCAGTCAGAACTGCACGCTGGAATGTAGGAACATTCATCTATATATATGACATGTAAAATGTGTTATTTAAACATACATCCACATATAATATCCATACATTGATTAACCATCCTATAACCCTAAATCTTATGTCTTTCATGCTATTTAAATATAGGTAATCTGTGTGGTGCTCACTTAATCATCACTAAAGCCATCATGTGTGTCATATCCTGCCTTTTTTATCTTTACATAAAGATATTGTAAGATAAAAACCCAAACCATAGTCGACATGCAACTAATGCATACAGCTTGAGCACACTGTAACCCCAACCCTCTTTCTTAAACATCCTATCCTTTTATTAGATGTCCAAATTTTTACTAATTCACAACGTTCCGGTTTCTGTACTGCTGCTTCAGCTCAGTATTATCACCTGACAGATGCAGAGACATGTAAACCAGTTGCCTTGTGTGCTGGCAGAGCCTAACCGTTAAGATCTATCCATTTATCCTTTTTCCAAATCGTTTATTCCCAAATGGGGTCTTGGGGGGACCAGAGCCTATCCCAGTATGCAGTGGGCGAGAAGCGGGGTACACCCTGAACAGTAGCTGTCAACATCTCTCCACCTATTCTTTCCCTATAATAATCACTTGTGTATTTTTCTCGGGCATTACGCTTACCAACTGCAGCTTCATTTTGCACTTTAACTTCAGCATATATGGTCTCCGGCTCCCTTTTAGCTGCAAGATCGGAAAAAGACTGTTAGTTACACCTATTTCACAGAAATCGTTTGACACTCCGACACTGAGTTTTGGTGTTCGAAAAACCCATTTGCCTAATGGTAAAAATGACACAAGTACACATCCACTAAACTGATGACAACAGAAAAACCTTAACTCAGTAACTTTGTGTGGGAAAGTGAGGAAAAGTATGTTAGAAATGGCTGTAATCCAACATCATACAATGCTTTTCAAAACCATGCTGGCATAGTGATGTCAACAACAAAACCAGAAAAAAAGACATCTTTTCATAACGTGCGTAGATATATAATGTTTCAGAAGGGCAAATCATGGCATTTCATGATTCAGACCTCTAACACAGACATGCATGAAACTGTGTAGTGTTTTCTACACAAACTGTAAAATGACCCCGTCTTACCTTGTGGTTTCCGTTGGTTACCTTTAAATACAACTGAAGCATACTGAACCTCTTCCTCAGCCATTGCTTCAGGTCAATTGAAAAATTTCTTTGGACCGTCGGGCAATAGTTGCACAGAAACAGCGACCGAGCGCTATTTGTGAGAAGTGTTGGTTTCCTCTGAGACACATCCCTCTATCGCTCTCCTGATGAAACAAACTTCTGCTTTTTGGCTGAGAAGGTTATTTGCATGGCTGACGTTACACAGCCACGCACAGAGTGTGCTTCTTGTGTTATGAGAAACAATTCACAGTACACATTAGCAGATAATACAGTTCAAATAAAGCGCAGTTCAATGTGGATTTGAATGGCGGCCAGTATTTCATAGCAGTACAATCAAACCAACTACGTCAATTCTCTTTCTGTCTTTTCTTTTTGAGGCTCACTCACGCATAGACAGCAGCTTCTTCTGCTTTCTCAATGCTGTTAAGTTAAGACAACCAATTCAGCCTGTTCTCATGATTCTCATCTGTACGACTTCCTCGGCAACATGTTTTCAGTGCTAAGCAACTACAATATGTAAATACGTCTGCTGAGCTAACCTATCAACAAAGAGAAGTGTGCGGCAGAGTTAACTTTAGAGTAAGCAACATTTTAAATCTTTGCAACAACCACAGGGTCATTTCGCTGTCTTTGTAAAAAGGGAAGAGCGTTTGCATTTGTTTTATGGGTCTCTAGGTCTTCAGTGTTCGCTCATCTGCTGAATGTGTGTATCCAAGTAAAGCAGAAGGAATTTTAACTGCACGTGTCCAATCAAATTGAAATTAAATGACTTTATTTGAAAGGCGACAAATGGAAATACTCAGGTCACATTTTTTTGTAATGGTCTTGCTAATCAGATGAACCTGCTAATGAAGAAGAAAATATGCTCAAGGTGAACGTCTGATAAAAGCAGCAACTCTGTTATCTAGCTATCTGAAAACCAAACGCAGAGTGAGTCTTCGGCACCCTGAATATGAAGTCTGTTGCTTGACCTAATCCTTTCCTTTATTGTTTCCGTATGAGCCAATAATCCCACACTTCTCATTTCTACTCACATCCTCATTGTTCTGTTGCAGCCCTGCACCCAAAAGGAAACTGGGGGAAGTCAGCAATGTAAATACCACGAATAAATAGATGAGGCCCGCGTTATATTGACTACATAAACATATGTGGGCTAAACAGATATTATTTATTTGCAACTTTTCTTTGCACCCTTTAGTTAAATGATTCAATTTAGTCCAATTGAGTTGAGTTAAACTCTAAAATTAGCCAGCCACAGATTCTGACTAATTCATCTTTGGCTTGCACTGGAGTGGACATATGAAGTGGACGGTGTCTGACCACATGGACTCTTTGTCCATGGTTGTGATATGTGTTGAGCCGGCGCAGTGCCGGCTGTGAAAGGGATAGTCTTGTAAATGACATCACTGCCCCCGTCTGCCCTGTCCGACTCCCCCCCCCCCTTCCTCTCACAGCCCTCCATCTCATCTAATTTCATCCTGAATATTCTGTTTCATCCCACTTCTCCGGCTCACAATATCTCCCCTCCCCTCCAGACCCTCAGTCTCCTCCCTCTGCCTCCCCCTTCCCACATGTCCGAGAGCCCAGCCCTTTCATGAAGCCCAGTATGAAAAGGAAATCCTCCACCAGAGCCTTGCTGTTGCCTCACTGACTCACAAGAAAATCCACACATCCCCAAGCCTGGACACTGAGAGACAGCCAACTTCCAAACCAAAACTGGATCACATCTGAGAGAGGACTTGGCTTTCAAATTCTCTGTTTCTGATACTGACATGGAGCTCCACAATGTGCATAGTATGGTCTTCCCCAATCGCTTGGGTGAGGAGAAGCAACAGATGCTGAGCCTGAACCGACGCTTGGAAACCTACCTCGGCCGGGTCAAACTGCTCGAGGAGGAAAACGAGCTGCTCGCGAAGGAGATTCGGACCATTAAACACAACAAGCAGGGCTCCCTGAAGCTCAGGAAGGGTCTGGAGGAAGAGCTCAGGCAGGCGAGACTGGAAGTGGACGCAGCCTGGAGGGACCGGGGCATCGCAGAGCTGGAGGTGTGCCAACTGACCGAGGAGCTCCAAGCCATCGACCAGCTGAGGCAGAGGGAGGCTCAGGCCAAAGTGACCGCGCAGACAAAGCTGGAGCAGAGCCGGAAAGAGCTGGAGGAGGAAGAGAGGGCACAGATCTGGCTGGGGGATAAGGTCAGACAACTGGAGCACGAGATGAGGCTCCTGATTGAGACACATTCAGACAACGTGGCTCTCCTGGAAGACTCGCTGACTCAATCCAAAGCCCCAGCCCCTCCAACACCGGCACAAAGATGCCGCCAGACACCCGACCTCCTCAGGATGGGCGAAGACTTTTACCAAACGGCCACCAGAGCATGGCAGGAGGCCGCCGCGGCCAATCGGAGCCAGTTAGCCCGGCTCGAGGAGTCGCTGGATCACACCAGAAAGTCCCTGGCTCAAGTGGGCCAGGAGAAGCTGCACAGCCAGCTGAAGCTTCAAACCCTGGAGAAGGAGATGGCCTCAGCACAGGACGTCCGGCTGCATCTGGAGAAAGCTGTCGACCAGCAGAGGAACAAACACTGCCAGGAGATGCAGCAGCTCCAGGTGAGTAGCCCCAGATGTGATATTCATACGCATCTTTGGGCAGTTAATTATTCTTGAGTTATTCTTGAGTTCTTTAAGATAATCTTCAGAGTTCAGCACCAAAAAACATGTTAGTGAAGCATGTCAGCAAACGACTAAATTTTGAAAAACATACACAAGTAGTTTAATGGCAAATGTTTCTTTGGTCTGATCAACAGATCTGAATGATTTCAGTTTTCCTGATGAAACGGGATTCTTACAGGACTCTAGACTCATTTCACTGTCTAAATGTACATTTGGATGGCTTCAAATTACAACTGACAGACTCAAACTCAAAATAAAGTGTTTTTTTCTTCTCACAGATTTTAGAAAATAATTCAGGGAACTGGAATGCTGAACAACTTCTCACTTATTTGAATAATCTCTTAAAGTCTATGTTGATTGCCTGGCAGTGTGCAATACGTCAGTCTAAATAAACGTTGACAAAGACACAGGAAGAATGTAAATGCATGAGAGTTATCAGCTGCAGGCTTGAGGTCAGACAAATGTTCAGAACTATTATTGCTACTACCTCTATTGCATGCCAAGGCAGGCTAATGTATTGCCAGAAAGCCTTTTATGGTATTTTGTCAGACGAACAATTTGACTTACACTAAAAGAGCTTTCATTTGAAAAATCACGTGTGAACTTTTATCTGTTCAGAAACTAAAAAGGGGTTTATTTTTGTTCAACAAATACCCTCAGAATGATTTTTACATGCTTCTTCTTTTTTCCCCACTTCCCTTTCCTGATTGACTTCTGTTTTTTTAAGGAGTACTTTGAAGACCTGGAGGTAGAGAGACAGGGACTGGGCCAGCAGATTGAGAGTCTCATCCAGGAGAACTGCAGACTCTCGCAGTTGAAGATTTCTCTGGATTTGGAAGTAGCAACATACAGGTACACATTGTACAGTGTACAAGTACATCTATCTATCTATCTGTGACAAAAATGTGGGTTATGAGCTCTGTGGTAGCTCTCTATTGGCGTGTTCTTTCTCCCTCTTCCCCCTACTCAAAGTATTGACCCTCAGCCTTCTCTCTGAGCTATGGGAATCTACAGTAACAGCACAGGGGGGAGGTGGGGGGAGGACATGAGTAGAGGACAAATCTGAGTATTATTCTCTGCATGTAGAGCTGTTGACCTAATTGGACGTATTTGCAAAAATGACCTTTCGTTTTTTGGATCAACTGGATCCACTGAGCTCATTGGGAGAAGTGTGCATCGGAATGGAGGACGATGGGGTCCACAGGCGTGAATGGAAACAGTGGAATTACTGCCGCATGGGCTGCTCGTAATATGGGCTTCTATTTGCCTGTCCTGAGTGCCCCCACGACCGTGTGAGGCCTTAATGGCAGAGGACTGGGCGCTGCAGATGGCTCTTCAATAGTGGGGACTTTCCACCATTACCATAACAACAGATCCCGGTCTGTAGCAGCTAAAGGCTCCGCTTACTCCTCTCCCCACCCACAGCTCCGAGTGCGTTATCGTGTTGGCATTCGCTGCCTTCGGGCTTCTCCCAAATCCCGAGCAGCGCATTATTCATGTGTGTGCCTTCTGAGCGTGATTCCCCCGTTGTTTGTTGTTTGCTTCCGCAGAGCTTTGCTGGATGGTGGAAACCTGAGGGGAGATGCGTCCTTCTCAAATAGGCCAAGAAACATTCGCATCACAGGTAATTAAAGGGCGCAATCCGTCTGCACCAACATCCCTTCAGTCACTTTTCTGCTGCTGAGATTTGTGTCACATTCTAAGAGTAGGAAAAGCCTCTCAGAGCTAGGCACATGTTTGATTGCACTAGTCTTACTGGAGACTAGTTGTAAGGGGGGTTGATGAACGGAGCTGAGCAAGGCCCTTTGGGTCCTGTAATACAAGCCATGTGAGACAGTCCCAAATCGTTATTGAGCCAAATGGCTCTCCCTTCCCGTATCCCAGACAACAGTGAAAGGAAATGGCGATCAATACCTCCCCATTAGTGTCCCTGCTCACTTGAGAACATACATTTTGATAATGCCATGGTGATACAGGTCTCTCTGCTTACCCCCCTCACTAGACTGCATTATCTGGCCGAATTTCATAACAGATAAGGTTTTCGCTCGTTTTTTTAATCTTTTCAAGAGGTGTTTTATTACTGCTGAAGGTTGGTTCATTTTCTATTCATGAGGTCTCTTTTCCACAGATGCAGTTTTCAGTCCTCGTGGGGTTAAAAAGATTAACCACACCCAGCTGTCTGCCGGCCACAAGAGCACTTTCGCTCCATCTCTCCGTCGCACCGCAGGCCCAACAATAACCGCTGCCCCACTCAGTGCTAGAAAACTCACAACTTCAATTCTCAGCAAACCCGCTGACATAGCAAATTCCGCTACGCTCGCAGACCCCTATCCAAAAATAGTGCAGGACGGAGCAGTTGAAAACTTCCGACCGCAGGAGGTTAATGAGAAGGTCACCCACGCCGAGCCTCTTTCTCCTCCGGGTGATGAAGGGGAGCCCGGTGCAACGTTTGAGGAGAAAAGTGAAGACAACTGGAGCCCTGTTGACGGTGAAGAAAGAGAAATAGTTGAATGGGCCGTCGGTTATCCCACTGAATGCGGCTTCGGGAGCGAGCAATCGTTCGAAGACGACCACCCGGTAATGGAAACCGGCTTCTCGTCTGACAATGACAACGTGACTGAGGAGCCTTACGGTCAGTCAGAGGAGCCGCATCCAGATGTGGCAGAAAAAGAATCTGAGCAACAGCTGCAGTTGCCTTCTTATGCATGGTTAGAGACGGGGCAGGGGGCGGAAGTGGTAGAGCGTGTGCGAGAGAGCATGTCAGATTTTCATAGCGAGGCAGGACCGGAACCAACGCCTGAGTCTGAGCCAGGCCATCTAGACCCTGAATGTGAGCACACTGGAAGCGATTCGAACCGAACGAAAGACGACGACCCGGATAGAAACATGTCAGACGAGGTTGCTGCACAAAAACCGAGCGATTCCGCGACGACGGCGAACGGATTGGAGGTTGAATACGAGCTGTACCCTGACGGAGAAGAGATGGATACCTGGGACAGCGTGATAGAGAGGAGGACAGAGGCGGGGACAGACGTCAGCACCAAAGTAGAAAGCAAAAAACAGCGTGCCGAGCCGGAGGAAGACATATCGGGGAAAGAGCCGGAACGCGAAGAGACGCAACTTAGCCAGGATGAAAACATAACCTCCACGCTGTCGCTCACACCAGTGAACGACAATGAGCCGGCGTGGTTAGACAGAGAGCAGGCTGCTCCGACCCCCGACGAAGCCGGTGATGATGATGATGATGAGGAGGACTCTCAGAATGTCTCCGTGTCGTGGAGGACCGAATTGGAGGGCGACAGCTATGCTCAGGACAACACCCTCGCCGACACGCGCCCCTTGATCCGATACAAAAGCGACGAGGCCGACGGCAACACTCAGGCGTCGCACGTGGACGAGAGCGAGTCCAGTGAGGGAGAGCAGGAGAGGAAGCCGGCCGAGGACGGAGCCGGAACATGGAGCGACAGCAAGTCGAAGGCGTTCGGGACGATGGAAGATCTGTGCGAGGAAGTTGAAGAGGAAATCATGGATGATGAGTATAATCTGGGATACTTTAATGACGAGGACAGGGACGTTAGCCAAGGTACAATAGTAAGCGAACGGGTTCCCCTGCAGAGTGATAGAAAAAATGAGGATGAAGATGGGAGAAAACTCAGAGAGGGACACTCAGAGGAAGAAAGTGAAGAGCTCACCAGACCCTTCATAGATTATGATGAAGAGCTGGAGACGGACAGGCTAGTGGAACAGGAGTTAGAGAATCTGTCCACAGAGAGCTACGGCTCTCATTTTGCCCAGCAGGCCGCTGAGGATGCTTGTGTTGTGGTTCAAACAGAAGACGTGCGTGTCTTTGAGCCTATAACTCCCACAACATTTAGAAATCAGGTTTCTGAAAACCAATATCTGACCGATTCAGTGGAAGAAATGCCCCTAACAGATCCTGTGGCCCTGGATGATGATAAATATGACGATGACATTTTTATAAATGAACCAAAGAAGAAAGATGAAGAGGATGAATATAATATTTCTGTCTTGACGCGTGCTGATGCAATTGAGGGTCACCCTGGTCTGACCGATTCCATCAGCGGCCCCGATGAAGAAGAAACCGACCACCCGGAGGATCCCAGCTCAGAGGTACTGTCCACCCCACACCAGGGAAACCTGCAGCCCGTCGTGGCTCCCGCTGAGGTGCCAGGGGCCCTGCCCGAGGATACGTCCAGCAGCTCTCACCAAAACCTTGTTGGAGACCATGAAGAGTTTCCGGAAGCTGCGGAAGTGGCCGAATGGGAGGTCCTGGAGGAGCCCGGACAGGACCTGGAACCCGGACAGCAAGGTGAACCCGACCAGAGGTTTGGCATGTTGGGATCAGCGGAGGATGGTGATTGGACAAGCGGAGAGGAGCGCGTTGGAGTTCCACCTGCTGAAAACGGTGTCCCCGTCCTGAAGGGTGCGACAGACAGCAGCCGGGATCTCTTCCTGTCTGACGTGAGGGAGGATTTCTGGGTGTCCTCTCTAGAGACCGGAGCCGCTTACAAACCAGACGACACCTGGAGCGAAGCATCTGAGCTGACCGGTCCGGTTCGTGGGCCCGGTGAGAAGCAGGTGTGGGGTAACTTGGAAAACCAGGATGCAGTAAATGAAAACTCCAGATCAGATGTGGATCTACCCAAAGCCTCAGCCCCCGTGAAAGAGCAGAAACAGACGTATGTGGAAGTGACAGATGCTTTGTATAGAAATGTTAAAGGGCAGCTGGTCAATTCTGAAGAACTGGACGTCGAAGCGGAATCGTGGTCATTCGGGAAGGAACCAGCATAAAAGAAAACTGCAGTTTAGAAGTAGTTTGTTCTACAGATTTAAATGGTGTGGGGTCAGATTATAAAACTTTATACACTTTTTAAAACCAAAGTCGTGCCTTGGTGCGCGCTTCAGTGACTTAAACCACCAATGTGCCAACTCTCAACTTTCAGTCATTTGGAACGAGCTTCTGCGTGAGAGGATCCATGAACAATGAACAAAGAGAGTTATTTGAAAGTCAAATCTTTCATTGATCATGGCCTGGTTAAAATTTAGTGACTAATGGAAATCAATGAGTGACAACCTGAATGGCAGGGTTCCTTGTAGAGCTGCTTTGACATAGAGATAGATTTCCAGCTGGTTATTTGGTTTTATTGGGCAAACTATTCACTCACACTGGTATGTTTTACACATGCAAAACAAACTGTATGATTTTTGATCACTTTGTTCCATCAAGTTGATCAAAATGATGCTACTTTTCATTACACAATAAACTCTAGCCTAATGTTACTGTGTCCTGTTTTGATCTTGTTTGCTGGTGTGATGCACTGTGCACGTGAAAATTATTCCTCGTAAATCATGAGAGGTGGCGTGTTTTGGGAGATAATCGTAACACAACATCCACAAGAGCAGAGATAAGTAACAGCCTACACATACTACAGTGTCAGAGGAAGTTTAATACTAATCAATTCCTGTTCCAGTATTTCAAATGTCACAGAAAGAACAAAGTCGTCACAGGCCAGTTATAAAAAATGTGTAGGCATTATGTATGTAAGCACACAACAATGTCCCCTGTAGACAAACAAACTGTCCAATATAGGGCACGTTCCTAATAATAACTGTGTGACTAATGGTTATTTACTAGGAATAAAAAGCGAAGAAAGGAAAATAACCACATGATATTATTGTTCTACCAATAAAAGAGAAAAATAGATGCAAAGAACTTTTTCCGTTACTCAGAGCAGTTGCATCCTTCAGAGAAGGTCAGGAAACCAGCTCTTGCAGCAACATTCATCTGTCTTCTCTTTGGGGTTTTGAAGGCATTCAGGCTGTGTGTGTGTGTCTGTGTGTGTGTATGTGTGTGTGTGCTTGTTCTTTCCATTTTAACTGACCCACAAGCAGTTTAGTCAACAAAGCAGTCCTCCACTAGCACACACCCATCTCCCGAGAGGACCAAAGACAGAACAATGTATGACTTCATCTCCTCTCCTCTTCATCCCCCCCCTCCCTTGTCTGTCATCGGTCAGTTTAGCGAACAATGGGGGCTATTTTGGTGGGCACTCAACTCTTTGCTGACCAAATCTGCCCGGTGGGAGATTCAGTGAGGAAGGAAACCACGGAGGGTTGTGTTCACCGTGAAGAGGCTGAAATGTGGGAATGGCACGCTGTTGTTCTCCAGCCATCAGCTGAGCCATCCAACCCCATAAAATCGCACACAAATTCAATAAAATGGTTACCTATAATTGAAGTCATCAGTCACAAGTGCGAAAACATCTCCATAACAATGTCCAGCCATAAGTTGGCGAGGCAAAAATATAAATAAATAAAAACATAAACGGGATTGTTTAAATTATGTGGGACTGGCTTAAGATTTAAATTAACTCGGCAGTGACTTTGTTACTCCATGACTCCATATTTTCTTTGGCAACTGATGCTACCGAGTGTTAAGTCCACCATCAGCAACACGTGTTGAGTTTTTCTTCACAAGATCCCCAAATAGTAAAAAAGAAAATTCATGACAAACTATCATGTTTAAGGATTTCTGATTTCTCAATACAACAAATAAGGATTCATTTGAATAACTGGGCCAGATTGAATTTTTAATTTGACCAATTCACTGAAACTGATTAAGCATCTCTTACTTTAAAAAAAAAAATGAGATCCATCCCTCTATGCTTCCTGCTAAACAAAGAGTACAACAATTCTTGAGATTTGTGTCCACTGACAGACTTGACCAGCAGATATTGGTCCTTGTTCGTCGTCTTTTGGAAGTGTGCGGGCAGATGTGCGTCAGTGGCCATCTGCCGCCCACCGTGGATCGATCTCCATTGATTTACGAGTGTTGGTGTCAGTGTGGATGATGGAGGAGCTGCAGAGTGAGACTGAAGATGGGGGAGGTGCCTCCAGTCTTCCCTCTTTACATTCCCGTTGCATCCCTAAACATCGGACCTCTGAGAGATCATAAATAAACACAGGATTGGTCGCAAGTATATAGTCCCCAGAAAAGCTCTAATACACCCAATGAAACCCCAAAATATGCTTAAAATTTAAATCCTAGCGGATATAAGTCCCACATCATATAAGTTACATTTCCACAAAGTTATTTTTTCTTTGTCTTTTGATTTTAATTCTGACATTGATATGGTTTCTTAAACCCAATTAAAGTTTCTAAAACAGAAATCCACTCACCATCGGTGCATATTTTTTGCTGCGTTTTAGATCAAGGCTTTATCAGGAAGGAAGAGAAGTCTCTCTCAAATAATTATGACCGACGATGACCTATTCAATCATTCTCACTCCAAACTTTCAAAACCAATGTTTTAGTCAGGAGGATAAAGAGGGGAACAGGGCTTCATTTCCCGGAACAACCCTCAAAGCGTTGATTTACAGCTGCTCAGCGGCCAGTTGGGAAACAAAAATTCCTCCAATGAGTGGTGGGTCAGCCATCGACCCAGGTGCCAGTGTCCAGCTGACATCGAAGGGGTGAGGCTCACGAGTCATACTTAGTGTGTTCTCTCACCACTTCATTTCACTCCTAAACATAAGAACATGTCTCATCTGTCAAAATTGACACCCCTTCCCCTTTTTAAAAGATTAGGACCGTCCACCAGCCACATAAAACTCAGTTTAAATATTTGTGCTGCAGGATGTTTAAGCTAGAAAATAAGATAAACTAATAAACAAATGGATCTAATCTGAGGATGAAGTATTTCGGTTCTGAAGGGCCTTTCTAGAGGTGGACCCTCTCATGTGCGAAAAAATAAATAAATATAAAAAAAAGATGTTCTCTAAGCCTATCTGATCTGATCCTCAGAGCAACTTCTTTTTCACACGCTGGGTGAAAATCTAACAGGAAGTCCCGGAACAAGGAGTGGCCCATACCATAACTTCAGACAAGTTTTTCAAACAGAGATCATATTTTCAATAAATGATACCAACCACAGCAGTCCTGTTGCATCGAGGAGAGTTCCTGATGAGAAAACTGGTGATGAAATTAGATTCACAGCGTGCTTTGATATTTGTTTAATCTGCAGGTGTGTTTTTTTGTGTACCTTCAACTAGATTCCAAGAACCTACTTTTCATATGTTATAAAGACTCTCTCTGCTCTAGTTTACATGTTAAAAAGACTCTCCATGCTCTAGTTTACATGTTATAAAGACTCTGCTCTATTCGTGCTGCTGTACATTTATTAAATTAAACTATTGACGGTCCCACAAAATTAGGATGGAAAAGTCACTGCTGACCTCTATGAAAGCAGCGAGGTTCACGGATCAATAGTTAAGGGGTTGTTAGCAAGACCCCATTCTTAGTGTCCTCTAAATGGAAAGATTTCATCATTTTCCAATCAATGGGAAGGACTGAATACCCAATGATTATCTTTATCTCTGCCGGCATAGTGAGAAACAACTGATTTTATCCCACCACTAACAAATGGTGCCGGTACCACAGCCTGTCACAAGGTGCTGTGGAAATAGAACAAAAGTTGAACTCTGGCGTGCAATCTGCTGGTGACAGCTGCGAGCTGTTTTTAGTGATCCATGAGGAGTGACGGGAGAACAGGAAACATTCTGGGATGGAGAACATCAATTCAGCTCCTCCAAGAGAACAGTCCACAGACATGTGGTGACTCGGATGTTTTCCAGCTCATGCGAGTAAATGCAGTCCAATGTTAAACTGATGCAAATGTAGAATTTGCTTGGATTAAATATTAGCAAAACTACCTAAAAGATGGATTTAGGCTTTTCTAAAATGAGCTGTTTATGGTAAAAGATGAAAACATAAGTCATTTAGAGCAGGAGATGTGTTTTTTTTAAATGAATCAAAACCTTCTGTATGATGTTCCACTGTTGTGTGTCTGCGTCTGTCCGTCAGTAGACAGTAATCCAATCAATGTGGAGAAATGAAGTTAGAGGCAGAGGGGCCACACCCACGTGCACGGAGAGGCTGCAGGATGGTACAAAAGGAAAACTGCAAGTCACATTACAAAGTCCAGACTAATCACATTACACGGTCCCAAGCAAACACAACAAAAAACACAACAGTTTGTGGTGATTCTGAGAGCTGGAATGTGAGCATCCGGACCCATTTGTTTGGTTTTACTTTCTCATTTATGTATGTATCTAAGCAGGAGCCTTTGCCCAAAGCAGGGTTTAACATTAGACTGTAAACCAGTCTGTTTTAGATCACGTCAAAAAGGCTTAGAAGGTGGAAAGGGCTTTTGGTTTTTAAGAATCTTTAAAAATTGTGAAGGTGCTCCCCACTGTGGTCGCACCTGACCGTTTGATGATGCTTTTCTTTTTCCACTTCAACAGAAATAGCTTATTTAACTCCTCTCTTTATTCCTATCTCCCCTTCACAGCTAAGCGTGCCAGATGACACATTTGACAGAGTGTAATGGCTGCCATAGGAACTGAGATGGGAGGCAGTTACCATCCTCAGCAAATTGAGGAACTCGTGTGTGTGTGTGTGTGTGTGTGTGTGTGTGAGACACGATCCAAACGGGCCACCAGACCGACTTGGCTCAGGCGGTCCTGTGTTGGTTTCGAGTAGAATTGTGAATTTACTTCAAATTTTAGTTGCCAGCAGAGAAATTGTCCACGGCGTGCAGTTGAGTCCCTGCTTTGTCTCTCCTTTAATCTTTGATTAAAGCTGTTTGTTTCAGAATAAAATACTTCAATTCCTCGGCAAGTGAATGTAAAAATGACTAAATGTCCCTTTTGTGATGTATGTTTGAGGAGAACGTTAATATTTTGGCCTTTCACAGCCCAAAATACCAAACTTCACAGTGCACTCTCGTGGTCATGACATCATGGTGCCGAATAAAAAATGACACAAAACTCATATTTCTGTAGGTCAACTTGTCTATTTAATATATAAAATACGGTAAAACATACGCAAAAAGGGGAGCAGGGTAAAAGGGACCAATGGATACTTTGGTACAATAACAAACACTTTTTTGTAAAAGCAGTATAGAATTTGTAATAACATATCAGTGCATACTTTATTTATGAAAATATACACAAATTGTATATCATTCTCCAAAAACAAGAACAAAAAAAAAAAGAAAAAAAAAA